ATTAAATAAATGCATATATGTGTGTGTGAGAAATGTATGTGATTATTACATGAATTTTATATGATTGTTTTCTCATTTGTAGGCCAATGTTGTGTGTGTGGTTTATGATGTCACACAAGAGGAAACCATTGACAAGGTATTAAATTAACATTATCTGTATATTTTTGTCTCTTACTTTCCCTGAACTGATTTTATCCTATTTTTTGCTCTCAGATCAGGACTAAATGGATTCCGCTGGTGAACGGTGGTGCTGAGAAAGGAAGCAAGTATGTTCTTGTATTCTGTTCTTATGTGAGTGCATCTGCATTTTTTAGGAGTTCCATAAAAAATGTCTCTTTTTGTTGCCGTAGGATTCCCATCATCCTCGTGGGCAACAAGTCCGACCTGCGCTCCGGCAGCTCCATGGAAACCATTCTGCCAATCATGAACCAGTTTTCAGAGATTGAGACCTGTGTAGAGGTTCGAACCGCTGACCACTCAAACTCAAATAAATCTTATATGACACATATATGTGACCCTGGGCACAAAAGCAGTCTTAAGTCGCTGGGGGATATTTGTAGCAATAGCCAACAATACATTGAATGGGTCAAAATGATAGATTTTCTATTTTTCCAAAAATCATTAGGATATTAAGTAAAGATCATGTTCCATGAAGATATTTTGTAAATTTCCTACCGTAAATATATCAAAACTTAATTTTTGATTAGTAATATGCATTGCTAAGAACTTCATTTGGACAACTTTAAAGATGATTTTCTCAATATTTAGATTTTTTTTGCACCCTCAGATTCCAGATTTTCAAATAGTTGTATCTCAGCCAAATATTGTCCTATCCTAACAAACCATACATCAATGGAAAGATTATTTATTCAGCTTTCAGATGATGGATAAATCTCAATTTCAAAAAATTGACCCTTATGACTGGTTTTGTGGTCCAGGGTCACATATATTTCACATATGAATGTGTGAAAGGGGTAATTTATCCTACTTTTTTAGTTAAATTTTCACCTGAAGTCATCTTACAAAATGAGACAAGGTTTCTCGCTATAGAAAATCAAATATAGATGTTTTTCATGACCATTTTTCACCCTCTCTCTGTCCTGACACTGTTTTTGCAGCTGTACCCTTAAGAATTCTATTTATAAATGGAGGATATAAATATTCTATATTATATTATTCAAGTTCATTTTGCAAACCGGAGAGGATGGTTTGCTTTGTGAATGTTATGGTTTGTCTATATTGAAACTGTATTTCAGAGGCTCCAAAGAAACTGTTTTTTAAATAATTTAAAGTGTTTTTGGTTGCTGATGTTGTATTGAATATTGAAAATGGTTCTTTCTTAAAACCTAGTCAGCTTTCTACCTAGATTGCGTCTTTTTAGCCTAAATGGCCAGAAATACTGTTTATGAATGTATGATATAATATATATGATGATGTATTTGTGTCTTCAGTGCTCAGCTAAGAATCTGAAGAATATTTCCGAGCTCTTTTATTACGCCCAGAAGGCCGTTCTGCACCCGACTGCTCCGCTCTACGACCCTGAAGACAAACAGGTACAC